AAAATCACGACTGAAACTTGGCAAAACTGTGTCAACAAGGCAGCTAACGTCATTGAACATTGGCTTACAACAGGCAACTGTGGCACCACTTGTATTCCTTTAAATCGTGACTATGACACTACGACAGACGAGGAACCGACAGGTCTCCCGGAATAGATTTTGAGATGTCCCCCGCCATGACTGGCTGTTCCGTTTCTGCGGTTTCACCCCGCCGCGACAGGTAACAACTTTTGCGTTTTCAATGATGATAGTTTCTTAAAAAAAACCTTTTGGGTGGAGTCCGGGACATTTTCAAATATAAGAAAGCTGTTGGGTATTAGTAAATGATAAACATGTGTACTATTTATATTTATGTGGCAATTTTGTACAATGATAAAATTTGCAATTCATCGGTCCGTTTCTGACTCAAACGGACTGTAGCTCTGGCCGTATGGGCCCGGGCGTTATCATGCTGGAAAATGTTGTTCCGGTGACGTGCGAAATGTGGTATGACGTGGGGTCTGAGAGCTTGGTCGATGTAGCGCACCGCTGTGATGCCGCCTCCTCTCCCTGGACCAAGGTTCTGGAACACCACAGGACCCACTCTCTGGTTCAGGCCTATTCCACCCCATACCATACCATGATGCATGCACCTCCCCATGAGTCTCTTTCCATAACACATTGGTCTGAGTAACGCTTGCCACGTCGTCACCATATTCTTGTTCTGCCATATGCAGTTGATACGCAGTACCGACTCTCATCTGTGAACAGAACAGTTCTCCATTGCCTGTATCGCCAGTTTCGGTGTTGTAGGGCAAACTGTAGACGTTCACGCCGATGACGAGGGGTGAGGATAGGTCCACGGTAAGGTCTTCGGCAATGAAGGTTCCCGCTGTTAAGACGTCGGTGTACTGTATCAGTACTGATCGGTCTTCCGTGTGTTCCCACTGTCTGGCGTGCTGTTTCGGATGCCTGCATGAAGGGATTCTGTACATGCTGTCGCACATCATGGCGTTCTTGTCGTCTTGTGGTCACCCTTGGTCTGCCAGTACAGGGGCGATCATTTGTGGTGTCATGGCCCAGAAACGTTCCGACAGCCTGTAGATGGTCCGAACGTTGACCTGGAAGTGACTGGCAACGGTTTGTGCAGTGTGGCCAGCTTCAAGTCTTAATAGCGCCTGGTTCCTCTGAGCTGTCGTGAGTCGCGGCATCCTTCTGACGTTGTAATGTGAATGTTTCAACCAGAAGAAAGGCAAATTGTTTAATAGAAACCTTCCAGCTACTGACTCTTCACCTTCAGAGGTTCATCTCCAAAATTCATTTGGACCTCTAGATATGGAGGTCACTCTGTCCCCACAGGACAGGCGGAGGAATAGTTCCTCCTCCCATTAACCAGAACGATCGCCAATTGAGCCACCATGACTCAGTTGGCCAATATAATTCTGTGGAACTGCAGAGGACTGAAAAATAACCTCAGTGAAATACAATGATAAATTCAAGATTTGCAATCCTCAGCAATGTGTCTCCAAGAGACATGTCTCAAACATACGACTTTGATTTACGACAGTACAGTTATTGCCACTCGTTCTCTCCTCCGGGTGATAAAGCAACTGGAAGTGCTTCTATTTTGGTGCGGCAGGCTATTATACATAGCTCTGTCCCTCTTAATACCAATTTCCCAACTGCAGCTGTACGTCTACTCTGCACGTTAACGCTGTGCAGCTTGTATATCCCCCCTTCGTCTTCGACTGTCAGATCTGCAAAATCTGTATGATCAACTTCAAAAGCCATGTGTCATCATGGGCGATCTTAACAGCTACAACCAGCTTTGGGGAAGTGTCCACAGTAATAATAAAGGTATATTCCTTGGAATTCGTTTCCGACAGAAGCGACAAAACAATTTATGTATTTTCAATGATGCTTCAACCACTCATTTACATCCAGCTGTGGGAACATTCTTCCCTGGATCTGTCACTCGCCGACTCCATTTTATAATGAATTAGAATAGATGGTCCATGATCACCTATGTGGGAGTGATCACTTCCCCTTCATTCTCAAAACAATAACCCTGACGATGATCCACCTTTTGGTCATTACATACAAAACATGACGTTTTTGCGAGCAGCGAAGATCTGATATAGTTGTTTTCTTAACAACATTGCTGATCAAACTATACCGAAGCTTTTTAAAGTCCTCTGCAATTCCACATATTCGTAAGCCATGGTTTAATAATGAATGTAAACAGGCCAGAAAGTGTAGAACGAAAGGAGAAAAGTATTTTTGGCGAAATCGTAACAGTCCATGATTTAGATAAAGTTAAAATATTAAATACCAGGGCTCGACGCGCATTTAAACAGAATAAGCGTCAGTCTTGGCAAAACTATGTTTCCAAGATAAATTCCAAAGAATAAAGGGAAAAGGTTCCACATCTACTGTCCACCATCTAAAGAATGTGAGAATTTATTGACGGACAAGGCTGCCATTGCCAATAAGTTTGGTGAAACTCTCGCCAAGCATTCGTCTTCGTCAAATTATGTTCCTGGGTTTCAGAAATACCAGAAACAACAGGAGAAGAAAAGAATTAATTTCAACTCGGACAATAGGAAAGAATGTAACGAATTATTTTCGGTACATGAGCTACATACCGCCCTTGAGCAAGCTCCTGATACACCTCCTCAAATGGGGTTACAGTACTGTACAATGATTGACCTTCTGAGAGGGTGCGTCCGTCCCAAAACGTTTAAAGTAAATTTAAACTTACATGTATTACTTTTTAACCGCAGTATGTATGTCATTGTAATTTTTGGCTAGATTGTGTAAATTTGCTAATAGCTGAAGGGATGGTGTAAATCCAGCTAAGGTCCATGCAGGAAGCAAATGTATTGTAAGTCCCCATTGTCCTTAGTATGGTGATCTACCTTCAGTTGCTGGTGATTTATAGCCCGTTTTTTATATTGTATTGTCTTGAATTATTGATTGAAAGTTAATTGTTCTCGTCACGATATGTCTGCAATAATGCCGATGTGACGCTAAACATTAACTCACTCACTCACTCACTCACCTTAGTACGGTGGACCGCTTCCGTGGTGTAGTTGTTAGAGCGTCCGCCCGGAGAGTGGAAGGTCGCGGGCTCGATCCCCGACCGCGTCATACCAAAAGACGTTAAAATATGGTACTTGTTGGTCCCTGCCTGGCGCTCGGCATTAATGGGTACAACAAGGACTGGTCGGCTCGGAGTCGGTATAATGTGTCTGAGTGGGGTATTCATGCTTCACTGCGGCATGGTATCTCAGTGGGCTAGCACTATAAAACCAGCTTAAGTCTGGGCTAGTACAAGTAGCCGCACATACACATACACGAGCATGCACGTCGTCATATGAGCGAAATATTCTCAAGCACGACGTAAAAACCCAATTTCATCTCACCTCACCTTAGTATGGTGATCTACCTTCAGTTGCTGGCGATCTGTAGCCAAGTTTACAATGTGTTGTTGTTTATTTATTTATTCTTTTGAAGTCTATCAACTAATTTTAACTTATATCTGTGATAATCTAGTTATTCTACTCTCCATCGATGACAGATTTCTTATTCTTAACATATTAAGCATTTATATTAAATTTCTCATGACGATATGGCTGAAAGTGTGCCGATGTGATGTTACATTTTAACTCACTCACATAATCCACAATTTAGACTAATTAAGGAATGTATCGTAGTAGCCAGAGAGGTTTCTATGAATCACTGTGAGCTGAAGATCGTTCCATGAACTGATGCCCTTTTCTCAGAGCCGAACGTATTTGTGGTCAGTTGCTATTCTTACTGCTCTAATGATGATGGATGCGAAGAAGACTGTTCTGGACGAAGAACAATCCATACGCACTTCTTATTCTTCAGCCGTTACTCGGCCAATTTCGCAGTCTGTTCCGCACCGTGTTCCATGACACGTCAGTTGATTGTTAGACCGACCATCCCACCACCATCCTCTATACAGCAGTATGATCTTCAAATGCTTTATAACCAGTTGCCAAAACCTCGCATTATAATGGTCACAAATGGTCATAACCCACTTTGGGGTAGTAACACCTAATGCAAAAGGGAAGATACTTGAGGATTTCTTCTCGAATAACGAGTTGTGTATTTTCAATGATGGTTCTAAAACATATCTTCTCCCTGCAACTGGATGCTACTCCTCTCTGGATCTGTCTGTTGCTGATTCCAATTTATATAACGAATTTGAATGGTCAGTCCACGATGACCTTTGTGGCAGTGACCATTTTCCCACTAATCTTTCAGCCATGAACCCCAGTGATGCCCCACCATCATCAAGGTGGAACTTTGAAAAGGCCGATTGGTCTTTATTCGAGATCTTGTGCAATTAAAACCTGAATTATTTCTGAATGTTACTGATCCTAATCAAGTATTTTCTGATGAATTGAATATGATTGCTGAAGATTGTATTCCAGTCCCTCTGGCACCCGTGAAGAGCCACCTCCTCGTGGTGGGTGCTGGGTAACGCTAAGCGCTCTTCAACCCCTGAGTGGACCCGGGTGCATAGTGGTCCACAGCACCCCATTGCTGACCTTCGGACCGAATTTGGCGACCCGTGTGCCGTGGATTGCGCCCCTGTGTCGGTGGAGGTAGGGATTCTGCTGGTTGAGGGCATAGGAGCCAGGAACAGTGTTCCTATTGACCAACACACCGTTTTGGCACTAACTTCACCTAGACGGGTGGTTGAATGGGCCCGGTTCAATCAATCGGTTGGTCATGCCAAGCCCTGTGTATTTGAAATTGTACTGAATATATCTTTACTTAATTTAGGTTTCATGGAACTGTCTTGGCATCAATTACTTTCCGTATTACAATTTGCACAATAAGATGCGTTTACATGACACCTATTTGCCCCCGGGGTATTTTACCCCCCGTAGGCTAATTTACCCCCAAGGGCAAAGGGCAAAAGAATTTGCGTTTACATGGGTTTTAAGACAGGGGTGGGTATTCATCATTCTCATTTCAATCTGACCATGGACAGGTACAGGCGGCTGTCAAAGAAAAGGAGAAGAAACAGAATTTTGCAAGTTATGGTGTTATGTGTGACATCCACATTACACAGTGAGCGAAGTGTATGGGAACGAGAAAGAAGTCGACACTGGTGGGAAGTGACAGTACAGACATTTGATGATGATCGGTGGAGAGAGAACTTCCGGATGTCAAAGGCAATGTTCAATCTTCTCTGTCAAAAACTGCGACAACATCTTGAAAAACAATCCAGAATTCGCCAAGCTCTTTGTCTTGAACACAGAGTCGCAGTTGCAGTATATTTTCTCGCTACAACAGGAGAATATCGCACCATCGCCAATCTTTTTGGAATACACAAGTCCACTGTGTGCTGCATTGTGCATGAGGTGTGTAATGCCATTTACACACACATATTCCCAGCTGTGGTCAAGTTCCCTCAAGATGAAGAACTTAAAAGAGTTATTTCAGGGTTCCAACAGAAATGGAACTTTCCAAATTGTGGAGGTGCTATAGATGCAACACACATTCCAATTGTGGCCCCGCAGCAGTTCCACTCTGATTATGTGAATAGAAAAGGGTTCTATTCAATTATCATGCAAGCTGTTTGCGATGATAAGTACAGGTTCACTGATGTCTGCATAGGCTGGCCAGGTAGAGTTCACGATGCGCGGGTGTTCTCAAACTCTAAGCTGAGGGCTTTGGCAGATAGTGGTGAGATATTACCGCAAACAGCAGAGATGATGGACAGTGTAGGCCCTGCTGATCATAAAGTGGATATGCCCGTTGTCATCATCGCAGACCCTGCGTACCCTATGTGTCCTTGGCTACTGAAACCATATAGCAACAGAGGGGCTCTCACAGAAGAACAATCTTACTTCAACTACAGACTGAGCAGTGCACGCATGACTATTGAATACACATTTGGCCGCTTTAAGGGGCGATGGATACGTTTCTCTAAGCGCATTGATGTGCATGTGGAGTTTGTGCCAGTACTTACTGCAGCTTCAGTTGCCTTGCACAACATGTGCGAAAATGAGCACGAGTTATTTGACCCTGACTGGCTGCAGGACGTAGATGTTGGAGCAGGAGTGTGTGGACAACAAGTTCATCCAGATCCAGTCACTGTATCAGCTCTTCGAACAGCACTCACTGCACAGTTTGCCAACGATAGACAGTGAAGCTTTTCTGACGAACATTTGAGACAGTGATTTCTCTATTCTTGTTCATTCAATTAACAAATAGATGTCATCAAAACATTTCTTTATTTGAAGCTTTTAAAAGAACAATACATGACTTGAGAACAAGAGTTTTGTTTTGCAAACATGATTACATTTAAGAAATAAACTGCAACCTGCAAACAGAACACTGTTATTATTTGTTCTTAAACATTAAAGTAGGTGAAAAAGTCAGTCACAAATTATTATTAAAAAACTGCTGCCATTAGTTATATAGATAGTATTTTCCCAATTCAGTCAAACAATAGATAGGTAAAGACGACTTTCGCAGCTTGAAACATACGAATTCCTTGTTTACCAGAATTCAATCTATAGCTAAATTAAGTTGTTATCCAAACATTACTTCAGCCTTCATTTGAAAACAAGAGTTAAGTTGCATTCGGAACAAACAGAAATAAAATCTAACTTGCATAAACACACTGCATTCTTAGCAGTTTTCTAAAAATTCACACTCAGTGAGCAAGTCAGTCACAGGTTATAAAAACTGCTGCCATCAGTGTTGTGGGTAACACTACCACGGCTTCTCCTGGGACCTTGGATGGGGGTTATGTCTACCTCTGAGTAATCTGATATGCGGTCGCCTGGTGGAGTTGCAGTGCTTGTGCTGGGCACTGGCTGCTTGTAGTCATCCGAACCCTGGCTGTAAGATGGCACTGGGTGGACTGAAGCTTGACCTGGAAGCATAGCTGCCTGCAGAGGAAACTGTGGTCTGCTACTCATGATCAGTTGGAGCATTCGCAGTTGGTGGTCTCTGTCTGCTGTTCGCTGTTTCTCCTCTCTGTCAAGTTTCTTCAGTTCAAACTCTCTCCTGTGAGCCTCGTCATGTATTTTCTTCATTTCAAGTTCAATCCTTTTCTTTTCTAATTCAACTTGACTCGCTTCAATACTTTCATTTGACTTAGTGAATCTGTCCATTACAGTCTCTAAAGATGCTTGAAAGCGGCTTTTTCTTTGTTTTCCCTTCTGCTTTGTTGTTTTAGTTTCGATTATTGCCTCTTCTTTTGTTTGTGGTTCAGCATATGATTTATCATCCTTGTTTTCGATTCCTGAGACATCTATGTCCAAATCCTCACCCTCGAGCAGAGGTATGACATCTTCCATCTCCTCAGAAGCAGGATCACCACCATCAGCAGCAGCATCAGAGTCTTCTGCATCTGATACTGGTGGTTTAAGACTCTGGATCACCTTTCCAGGAGAGGTGGCTGGCCTTATCTCCAGTATTTCATTCATTTCCTTGTAGAATTTACACGTTCTGCGTGATTGTCCACTTTTCTTCAGTGCATCACGGCATTGTCTGTACGACTTTTTGAGAGTTTTCATCCTCTCCTTACACTGAAACCTCGTTCTCTCATAACCCATGTCATGTAAAGCATTGCTGATTTTGCTGTATACAGCATTGTCTGCTTTCGAGGGACTATCCAGTTGGGATTGTGCTTTCAAATCACTCCAAATACTTAGAAGGCACTTTGTGCTATCATCGCACCACGAATTACCCCGCGAGCACTTCTTCTTTGGTGGCATTTTCACTTCTCAAAGTGCACAAGAGTGTTGGTAATGAAGCAACCTATTGCATAAGTGCTAAAAATAGATTTCCAAGAAAAAAAGAGTCCATTTTCTGTACAGGGGTGTTAGATATTTGTCATTTGCCCCCCGTGAAAAAATATAAAAAGCGTTTACATGACATGTTTACCTCCGGGGGTATATTTACCCCCGGAGGTAAACAGATTTGCCCTACCTTTTGACCTGGGGCAAATTTTGCCTCAATACCCCCCATGGGGTAAATATTTACCCCCTGCATGTACCGTTTACATGACGAAATTTACCCCCTGGAGGCACATTTGCCCCTGGGGGTATTTTACCCCCGGGGGTAAACGGTGCATGTAAACGCGGCGAGGCCTCCTCAACAGAGCTCTTGTTCACAAACCATTCCTTCAAGCCAAACAATCATTCATGTCTCAGGCGTCTTGTGATAAGGATTCATCTTTACATCAGACGCAATCTTTATCACAATCAACTCAATTATCCAAATCTGACACAAATGTGAAACACATTACAAAATCTAAATCAAAATCTAGAACTAAACCTGCAAATAAGAACCTCAGTGGCAGATCCCCAAAGGGGGCCAATAACCAGGTCCAACTGTTCAGTAAGTTTGGATCACTCGAGGACATGTTCGGACGCATAGCTTGTCACCCTCGAGAAAAGCGAGGGGTCGTTCTTCACCTCTAGTACAATGAAATTGCAGAGTTCTCAGTACAAATTTGACAGTATAATGCATATCACTATTTTTCTCCTCCAGGAGATAGGGCAACTGAAGGGTACCTCGTAAGGATGGGAATGCCACAATAACTCGGTGCGCCTAGTGGCTGCAAGAGTTTGTATGCTCCCCAGGGAGTTGAGATTGACAATACGATGTGCCGTTGAGATTGACATCCAGTGAACGAGGGAAAAACAAAGTGCCTTTGAGCAGCTGAGCGGAGCTGGATATCGGCGCTATACAAATGTATATATGATATGATGATATGATATGATATCTTCAATCCTTGTTAAGAATGATGTAATCCACAGCCTCGTTATACTTAAAAAAAAAATCTGCAGGCCGTTGCAGTTACTTTGTGGTACCCGTGAAGAGCCATCTCCTTGTGTTGGGTGCTGGGTAACGCTAAGAGCTCTTCAACCCCCTGTTGTGGACCCGGGGGTATATTTGGTCCACCAACCCGTTTCCCGTGGGTTGCGCCCCTGTGTCGGTGGAGGACGGGAGTCTGGTGGTTGAGGGCAGGAGGAGTCGTGTGTTTCTTTTTGCCCAACACATCCCTTTGGCCCTTACTTCACCTAGACGTCTGGTCACGCCATGCCCTCTGCATAGTGATTGTCATTATTGCACCTTTTTAACTACTGGGTCTTGGTTCTTTGAAATTTCAATATTCAAATTATCAATATGTTTCATTGCCTAGAGTCCTATGCCAGAAGGTGGTGGCTCATGGGCCAATCTGGTTATATAAACCTCTGAATTACGTGTTCTTAAGAACTGTGTCATGGGCAGAATCAGTCTGGCACTTTTTCTTTAAGATATCATGGCTTTTCATGTCTATGAATTCTGGAGTATGACACCTTTGTAGCCCTGGTCTTGCAGGTTGGCTTCCCCTGCACCACCGTCCTTGTTGACACTCGATGGCGGGTGGGGAGCAAGGGTGTTGAATCCTATTATATCACCAAGGCTAAACAGACACAATCGGGTTCATCAAAGAATTACCCAAGGAGACATTTAGATTGTGTTTCATCTGAAGATGAAGCAATTCCTACCAATAGTACTTCTTGGCCTCGGTTTATTGTTATCACTTCTGCTGATGGTACCACGATGAAATTGAATCCGTTTGCTATTTTCAAAGGCATTGAAAGTATTTGTGGAGTGGTGAAAAATGTTAAACGCCTTCGAAACGGTTCTCTCTTAATTGAATGCGCACGGAGGCAACAATCTGTTAATCTGTTGAGATTACAGCAATTAGTTAACAACAAGGTTGTTGTCTCGGTACACAGAGCTCTCAATTCCTGTCAAGGTATCATTCGAGATTTTGCTCGTGTTCTCTCTGATATGGACGAAAATGAGATTGTTGCTGAACTAAAAGATCAAGGTGTTACAGCTGTAAAGTGTTTCACCAAAAACCAAAATGAGAAAATATTCAAAACAAACACATACTTGTTCATCTTCAACAAATTCCAAGATCAATTAAAGCTGGATACTTCAACCTTGGGGTGGAGGTATACATACCAAACCAAATCCGATGCTTTAAGAAATTTGGTCATGGTGCAAAATCCTGCACTCGCAACACTGTATGTGTCTATTGTGCTGGCGCTCATGGGAACTCAGATTGCACTAATGACACCAACAAATGTGCAAACTGCGAAAATGACCATGCTGCTTCATCCAAAATCTGCCCTCGATATGTTCAAGAATCTAACATTCTCAAAATAAAGTATACTCAAAATATTTCTTACCGAGATGCAAAAAACGTATTCTGCTACAGTTTCATCTACAGCTCCTGCTCCTGTTCACACATTTCTTACCGTTTTGAAAAGTTGTTAAACAACCATATCATGGGTGAAAGACGAGCAGATCACATTTGGTGATACTACTCACAGTCACAATGATTCAAATTGTTCAACTTCAGCTTCACAGACCATGATCATTCAATCTGACAGAACCAGAAATTAGAAGTGAAAACATTCAGGACGATGTCCATTTAACGCAAAAGTAAAAGAAACAGATGAGACGATCCAGGGGCGTACACTATTTGAAGGTTCCTCTTTCTTCATCATCACCTGTTGAGGTCCATAACTCATTTGGGCTTCTTGATATGGAGGTTCTCCCTTCGCCTCCAGTGCATGGGAGTGGAGCTCCACCCCGGTCTAGATCACCAGTCGAGCCACCATGAATAGCTCCTGTAACATTATTCAATGGAACTGTAGAGGACTTAGGAATAATCTAAATGACTTACAGTTATTAATACAAGACATAAGGCCTTCAGCATTTTGTCTTCAAGAAACGTATCTGAAGAATACCGATCACCTGAGGCTGATCAGTCTTAGTGAAACAAGGTGTCATCCAGAGCCAAGTTACATCAGATACATCAGATATTGCAAATAAACTTGGGGAAACTCCTGCTAAGCATTCTTCCTCTTCGAACTACGATCCTAAATTTAAAAGATATCAAAAACTGCAAGAAAAGAAAACTATCAATTTTAATTCAGATAATGGAGAAGATTACAATGAGTTGTTTTCCATCCACAAACTTCATACTGCACTTGGTCAAGCTCATGATACCGCTACGGGAGCTGATAATATCCACTATCAACTCCTAAAGCACTTACCAGAAGCATGTTTGGAAACTCTTCTAGTAATCATTGATGAAATCTGGACATCTGGTAACTTTCCCCCATCATGGCGTGAAGCAATAGTTGTGCCCATACCAAAACCTGGACGTGACCATACTGACCCCTCAAATTATAGACCCATTTCATTAACAAGCTGCGTCTGCAAAACCATGGAACGCATGGTCCACAATAGACTGACATGGTACTTAGACTCCAATAATCTGATAACAAATATTCAGTGTGGATTTCAGAAAAAATCGAAGTACCATTGACCATTTAGTTCTATTAGAATCATTCGTTAAAAATGCAATTATCAACAACCAACATGCAGTGTCTATCTTTTTTGACTTAGATAAGGCATACGACACTGCATGGAAACATCGAATTTTAAAAGATTTACATGATTTTGGATTACGAGGCCGTTTGCCTCAGTTCATATCCAAGTTCTTAACTGACAGGCAATTTCAAGTCCGTGTGGGTTCTACCCTGTCTGATCATTATAATCAGGATCAGGGTGTCCCGCAAGGCAGTATTTTATCTGTCACATTGTTCAGCATTAGAATAAATAGTCTCTCTAAGGTTTTAAATGATTCCATTGATTGATCACTTTTTGTGGATGATTTTAACATTTCATGTCGTGGTAAAAATATGAATACTATTGAACGGCAACTGCAGTTGTGTTTAAATAAAATAAATAAATGGTGTCTTGAAAACGGCTTTAAATTTAATAGGCCAAAAACTAATTGTATACACTTCTGTAGACCCAGAACTGTTTTTAAATGGCACTCCCATCAAAGTTGTCAAGGAGGCTAAGTTCTTGGGTCTAATTTTTGACTCCCATTTAACTTTTCTTCCACATATCAAATCCCTAAAAACTAAATGCCTTAAGGCACTAGATTTATTGAAAGTCTCTAATTCAAAGTGGGGAGGGGATCAAGCTACCCTCCTACATCTATATAGATCACTGGTCCGTTCGAAGATTGATTATGGCTCGATCGTATATGGTGAAGCCTGCAAAAGTAACTTAAAACTATTAAATTCTGTCCACCACCAAGGTCTAAGACTTTGTCTTGGATCCTTCAGAACTTCTCCTGTTGACAGTCTTTATGTCGAGGCTGATGAGCCATCTCTTAATCAACGCCGTATAAAATTAACTTTACTGTACATAACAAAACTATATTCCAACAAGTCAAACCCTGCATATAACTTTATCTTTAATCCCCTCTATGAGGATCTGTATAACAAGAAGTCTTCTCTTGTTCCACCCCTTGGCATAAGAGTGAAACCTTTCCTTTCTGTGGCTGGCATTGAGCTAGAGAACATATCTCCTTCCCGTCTTCTTTCTTCTCCTCCTTGGCAATTTGTGAGACCACAGGTTGACCTAACACTGACAACTTTTAAAAAATCAGAAACTAACGAATTACAATATAAACAAGAATTTAGTCAATTAAGAAATAAATATAATGCATATACATCTTTATTTACAGATGGGTCCAAGGATGGTGGCGCAGTTGCTTGTGCCACTGTCATTGGGTCCAGAACAGTATCTTCTCGATTGCCGGGTAACAGCTCTATTTTCACTGCAGAAGCTAACGCCATATTAACAGCCTTAAAATATATTAATAAACACCCTCAATATACTAGGCACA